TGCTGGCTTTGGAGCTTGTTTTTCACTTGAGGAGAAAAGAGTGTCCTCTCCTCTGTCGTGCCAGCTGGACATTTCACATACGGAATCCATTTGGCCGTCAATAACATGTATTCTTCTTCTTTTTCTTTCCATCAATAACATGTATTCTCATAAAGACGAGCCAGGGAATATGTCCTTGAGGATTTCACTAATCATAGGTCAATCAAAGCCAAGTGAAAGCAAAAATCTATAACTTCACACGTGCACGGATGTATAATATTTTCCTTTTTGCAAATCCAACTTTCTCTGAAAAATCTTCTCATGCTCACCCTTCTCGCGTGAAAAGTGACTCAATACCACAATTTTTATATGCATGATTTGGAACTTTGGAATGTGGTGAGCACGGTTCCTGCTTTTGACTAAAATCTGCACTTATTTAAGATAAAAGGATCTGAACCTTCGCTCAATCGATCAATCACATTTTATTGATAATTTTATAGAGAAAATAACACACAGTTATTTTCAGTTTGTTTAAACGAAATCCCACAAGCTCATGAACCCTCAAATGGACCACCAAACAGACCCACCCCAAACCACATATATTATTAGGTACACACACGAACACGCACAGGAACACACAGACACACACACACACACAAACATATACAGTCACGGTCAGATGGCAATGTTAGCTTTTTAGATGTCTTTTTCACTGTGTTTGGAGTTAGTGTTCTATTAGGGCTGTCCATTTAATCAAACAAACTCAGGGATAAACAAAAGGCTATTTCTGGGTGGAGTTTGCATGTTCTCCCTGTGTCCACCAAAGTTTCCTCCACGTGATCAAGTATCCCCTTAAAAAACATTTGCAACAGGCTCTTGTGGGGGGACGGGCTAAACAAAAGGACAATACATTACATAATATAGGGATCAAGTGCTCTGTGCACTGGGTGCAGCCCTAACTGCCACCCCTCCGACCCAGAAATGGATTAAAAATATGGATGGATGGATCGCCCAGTTCGAGAAAGCACACCTGCCTATGGATGCATGAAAACATATTGTGCCTCACAAATCACAAATTCATGCAGCAACTCTCTCCTCCTCCCCATCTCCACCTCCACAGTGGGAGAAGCCTCCTCTCCCTGTCACTGGCTCTTCACTTCAGCTTTAGACTCAAGTAGAAATAGCTTTCACAGTCTCTATTCAAATACAGTAGTTCCCTCCTCATGCTATTTTTTTTTTTAACCACATTCAACATTTCATGTAGAACATGTCAACACATATGTTAAAAACATAAGCGCTTAACCAGGCAGTAACCGATTTACTGCACAGTCATGAACAGCATTCTAAATACAATTTACAATACAATACAATTTGTTCTTGTATAGCCCTAAATCACAACAGTAGTCATCTCAGAGGACCTAACAAAACCATTGAAATAAGACAGATCAGAGAATCAATGTCCATGACTGTTGATACATATTCATACATGTTGTAGAATGTTAAAGTGTCCTAAATGCATCCTTTTGTTTCTTAAAAGGTCCCATAGTACGCTTTTTGACTTTGTTATTTTATTTGACATGTTATTTGGCCTTCATACAGAAGTAGTTTTTTAATTTATTCAAAGGTGGGACCTTTAAGATTATGTTTCCGTATCAAAAACATACTAAGAGTTGTTTATTGCTAATACTAGAAACTTCTGACAATAACATGTGTGCCTGCCCTTTCTGCCTACAATCCTGTTTTAAAACTAAAATATTTCCTCCTGACCTTCTCTTACATGTGTTATATGTTTTAATTCTAATCAATTTCCCATTTCTAATTGATTTCACATTGTAAAACATAAGTGAATGAATGATCGTGGATGAATAAAACAGAAAAAGTGTGTGCTTCAGTAGATTGCATATAAGTATGTTGTCTTGAGCCGGCTGTTGTCAACGCTGCACTGTCATGATCGCAGCGACGAACCAGTGACGAACCAGCAACGAACCAGCATTGAACCAGCAACGAACCAGTGTGCTATAAGTGCATTGTGAAGCATCATCTCCAAAGTTACACCGTGCAGCATTAAAACTGTTCACGGTTCATGTTTTATGAGTTGTTCAGAGAGCAAGCTTGTGGTCGGCTGAAGCGCGGCGGTGGTGTGGAAGTGATTACGGGCCTTAAGCTCTTCTGACATGTATCTGCGCTGGCGGATCACACCGTAATCTGATTGTACGGACACCAGGTATGACAGAGGCACCTCAGGAATGTAATCTGTCATTAATATCAATTACAAGTGCAGCCCATGGCCAGTGATGGGGACCAGGCAGGAACGCAGACGGCACATAATATGCTTTCCTGCGGATCAGGGCTAAGATTACAGCCAAAACCCCAGAGACCACCGCTTGAATAACACGGTTGAAGAAATGTGATGGTGGTATGACTGCTGAGGACAGTTTCGTAAAAAAAAAAAAAAAGAGAAAAACAATATGAAAGGAATGGTTTATTTGATTCTTGCTTTTGAAATCATGTGGTAAAGACAGAATGGACAGTGTGTAACCAAGAAATCCCAAGTCTATTTATAAGTACTGTTCTGCTACTCTAAAAATGAAGTTTACTATGTGTTCTCCCTTTGAGCAACAACTCTTTGTAAAGCTTAAGGGAGCGGACCAAAGTAAAAAGTTACAATAAGCTAAGAATGGGGAAGGGATATTGACGGATATCCAATTTAAAACCAACAATCATGTTATAGTGCGAGAATAATTTTCAATAAACAAAAAGGCAAGGCAAGGTACGTTTATTTGTATAGCACAGTTCAATCACAAAAGGCATTTAAATCATAGACAATCACAGTACATTAAAGTTCAGCTAAACAGGACTATTTTAACCTCAACACTGTCACAAATACTACACAATATTACAGTATAGTATTTTACTAATATTGGTATCAGCTACTGCAGCTTGTACTAGAGATAGAAAGTAATCAACAACACGTGTCGTGATATCTTATACTAACACTGCCTCAGTCCCATGGGCAAAAACACAGGACTTTCAATCAGCATTAACACTAGGAATCCCAGAATTATGAACTCCAAGAGCAGTCATTTTGACGGCTCCCATTCAAATCAATGGATTCAGAAAATGTCCAGAAAAGTTAATGAGTTTCTCAACAGTTTTATTCAAGGTAGGTAGGTTTAAAACTGGTGTATATAACTCGAAAAAACAGTAAAAGGCATGTAAACGGATGGTTGCTATGGTAACTTCAACCTCTTCTCTGATGGACCATGGGAGTCTGGGAGTTAAAGGTAGATCTAGATCAATTTTGTGAATATAATGACATAGAAATAAACACTTCCAACATTAAAAGGCAGTTCAAGTATTAAACCTGCCTTTGTAAACAAATATAACTGTGTTTTTTAGGCAGCAAAAACCACACAGTTTAGTGTCAGGTTGATTATAATGAGTCTATATAATATATCTTTTTATACTGCAGAAATAAATAAACTTTTGAACAATAGTCTAATTTTCTGAGTTGCACCTGTATAGTTGCCTGAACAAATACACTTTGCTATATATAGATATATTTCATTACTCATTATAGCGTTGCCATGTTTGTAACCCTTCTGGATAGAGAACTGTCTTAAAAGCATTGTACCTCCACAATCATCGCATCAAGTCCAAGGAGGTCTAATCTATCTCATGCACGCCGGCGCCAAAACCTTTACCACCAAACACAACTGCCCTATTTCTTCAGAGTAATTGGCCAACCCTAGAAATCCTCCGTGCCTTTGCCTTAGCCTTTGCCAGCTGGCAGGAGAGCTGGGCGCGTCAAACAGCGCTCAATAAGCACCTAACAATTTCATACGGAGCGCAGAAAGGACACATCTCCACTGTCCAATAGAAACACCACATTCAGCAAAAAACTAACAAAAAACATACAAAATCCAACTTTGGACAAATAAATCTTAACGTGTTTGTGGTCCAGCCAAGGATAGACGCGTGTGTGTGCCCAGTATATGAGAATTCAAAACAAAAAACTGATATGTGAGATCACCGTACTGTACATGCAAAAAACATATGGGGTTAATATAACAATTGGCGAGCGTGAAGAAAGTATGAAAGTTTAACATGTGAACGCTTTCTTGTCTTGATCTAGAGCCACTTAAGCGAAGGCTAAATCATACTGTAGGTGATTTAGCCATGTCTGACGGCGGGCTGATGGCGGGTTGTGGTTGGGCGGCGCCTAATGAGGAGGCAGCAGCAGTGAGAGCGGAGTGATTACTTATGGGATGTGTCGACACCTCCTAAGTGGCACATGACTTCACTGTTGCAGCGGGGGCCAGGTATTTCAAAGGGTCACCACAGAACACATGCCAGCCAAATACTGTTACGATTGGTGAGAATGTAGGGCACGTTATGGCTGAGGAAAGAGCAGGCCCTTTGGATTGGCTTGTTGAGTACAGCCATGTCACACGCAGAAGGTTCAGAAAAAGGTCAAATACAGTGTGCAAAAAGGCAATGGAAAAAATGTTCAATTATTGCACAAAATTTGTCAAAATGTGTTTTTATTTGAGCATGTTTTGACTGGCTTAAAATAAGATTTGTCAATGGGACAAAGCAAAATTATCTTGTTTTAAAAAGATAAAAAGAAATGACTCACTTGGAATGAAAAAATAAAGCAGCAAGAATAATCACTGAAATAAAACAAAATGGCTTTGTCCCATTGGAAAATCTTATTTTAAGACAGTCATAATTAACTCAGATTATGATGAGGCAAGACTAGAGGCAAGAGAGACCAGAGAAAGACCAGAGAAAGACCAGCGGCAAGCAAGACCAGAGATTTTTTGTGCTTGTTTGATTTGCTCTATAAAACACATTGATGAGAATTACTTTGCTCTCTTAAGGCTGTAGAGTTTCAAATTGGTTTAGAATTCGGTTGCTGGTGTGCCGTGTGATTTTTTGCAATGACAAAGGTGTGCCATGGTTCAAAAAGGATGGGGGAACACTGATCTACAAGCTTCACTGTATAGCTTGGTCCTTACCCTACGTTCTCCTGGAAGCCCTCCAGCTCGTCCCGCTGCTCGGCCAGGGTGGAGTCCAGGTCCAGGTAGCTTCCATTGTGGGACAACTGCAGGGCACAGTCATCAGGCTGAAACGCACAGGGAAGCATATTAGTATTAAAATATTGTGTTTATATTCCACTCTTTTAAAGTAAAGAAATGGAACAATATAAATATATTATAATATAATTCATTAAAAAGTGCAGGAAACACTGAAATAGGTCCACTAAAACAGTTTCAACAAAAGTGCAATATCATTAAAGTGCTTTGTTCAAACTGATAACAGCTTGTGGAAAGAAACTTGGCAAAGCAAGATGTCCTGCCTCTCAACAAACGATATCTTCTGCCAGAGGGAAGAAGCTGGAACATGGGTTTTCTACGGTGGCCAGAAGAGTCATTGATTATTTGAAGAGCTGGATTTAACAGAACAGGCAGCTCACAGCTCACAGTCCTCTTTACAGAGCGGATTGAGCTCTCCTCTCTTTGGCTGTGATGTCACCCAAACCACACAGTCACAGAACCAACAAGCAAACTTTCAATGGTGGAGCGATCTTAGAGTTTGTGGTGAATTCTCAAAGTTTCCACGGAAAGTAGAGACGCTGACGAGCTTTTCTTCCTACTCAAAGATGCATTATTAATGTACTCCACACACAGCGGTGGTCGTCGCAGAAGGCTGACAATCCGTGTCAGTGGTCCCTCCAACCAAATCCAATCCAAATAAGATGAGATAAGATAGACTCTAATGATCTCACAATGGAGAAATTTACATGTCACATTTGGCATAGTCAGAATCACTCAGATTGTGCAAAAAGACAGAAGTGCGCAAACATGTTAAGGTTAAAAATATAGTCTGTTACGGAATCTAATTATGTGTTAGGATTTAAGCAGACAGAGACGGATCGTGGTGTGCCAAACTCTGGAAGTTTATTTAAGTTTCTCTCAAGTTCCACTGGTTTTCTCTGTTTCTTTCTCTCAGACAGAATAAAGGCAGTACACAGTTTATATAGTCATTGTCACGTCACACATCGAAAGACATACGTGTCACAAAGAGACAGTCACATCATAGTCATAACATGGAGTCCTTGTAGAGTCCTTGTACAGTCCTGCACGTAGGCCATATTGCTATCTAATACTAATACCCTCCCCTTTGATCACATAATCACATGTGATCATTCAATTTGATCAATCAATAAAGTGGAAAAAGAAGAAGAAAAAAAAAACTTTAAAAAATTATTAAAAACAAAGAAAATGTATGCATTAAACTCATAATCATCCAATCAATATCAGTGGATTTTATCCTCTATCCTGGGAAAAAATAAACAAACAAAAATAAAGTAAATAAACAAACAAAAAACAAATCAAAAATAAAAACAAACAAAAAACTATTGGACACACAAGAACTCAGCAGATTCAGTCAAAACACAGACAAAAACGAGCTGAGTCTCAAATTTGAAGCTAATTTCACTTTTATTACTCTATACTTTTATTCTAATGCTGATTGTTTACACTTCACTTATTTCACTGTATTATTTTCACTTTTCAATCTTCTTAACAGCTTTGCGTTTGCACCTTGAGCAAACACATATTTCTACTCTAACTCTTATGTGGAAATGTTTATGAACAACAAAGGAAGGACAATTCTACTTTTTTACTACTACTAAAAACGCTACAATACTAATACTTTATCATTTTAAAAGTTTTTGTCTGTCAGATGTCTGAATACTTAACATGTATATTGCATTTGTCACAGGTTCTGGTTGTAGCAATAGCATCGGCAATAGACGTTTTCATTGGCTGGTTCTTGTTCTGCAAATGGCTGTGTCCAATAGATCATCAGATGTCCAGAAGCTAGGGACAAACAAAAACAAAAGAAGGAATCATGAGTATCTCTCTCATTTAGCACTCATCAATGTATGATTTCAAAAATATAAACATCACTCCCCAGTTTTCTCTCAGGTCCTCAGGTCCTCAGGGTCCCCTGAGGGTGAGTCTCAGTCGTCATCCTGTCAGGTCATAGAGAGATGTCATCTTGGACATCAGTAGGGTCTCTCCAGATGCACATCAGATCTCCAGATACAGTCTTTTCAGTTGAAGCACATCAGGTCACTTGGGATGCACTTCTGGTCAATGGTGCAGTGTCTCAGTTCCTGTACACAGCTTGTAAATGCAATAGTTACTCTCTATGGTTAAGTCACTTTGATTCTACTTTAACACAATTTCTATTCATGCTGTTGCTAATGTCCCTCAGACAAAAGCAAGCGCAGTTTACTTCTCTAATTTGTGTTTTTATCAGATCTAATTCTCATCAATGTAATTACTTCACACAGTACAAAATCAACAAATCAAAAGTGTCAGGACAGACGTCAATTAGTCCATGACAATATAGAATTCAAATGAACATTTCTGGTCTCAAAAAATACTGATTCAACTAAAGATTCAAGTGATAGACAATTAAAAATATGTGTTTACATTGGAGTAAACTTTTAAAATGCTTTTTTCTCATGTTCTGCTTTTTCATGTATCTATATGTAAATGTGAATGTGTGAGTGTATGTGTGTGTATGTGTGTGTGTGTGTATGAATTTTGGGGTTGTGTCTCAAGACTCCTCGAACCACCTGTAGGTCTCAAAGGTCACACTGTGGTGATGTAAACCACGTAGACACACTTTCAACTCCCTCTAGGTCTCTACCTGACGCTCCACCCATCACGTCTCCAGATACCTCTCTTTCATGGCCCCGGTCTCTCTCACACCCACTCAGTTCTGCAGTGGCGTGGGGAGGGGCAAGGAGGTGGCATTTTCTTTTGCTCTTTGATCTGTGACCTGTGGCTGGGTGGGCTTTGCGCTGTCCAGTGTCCAGCAGTGACCCTGTACAGTGTGTGCTCTTGGTTCTGGAAAACAACCTTATAGTCAAATTAAAAACAACAGAGATTGTGAATGAGATTGTTTTTCTCCCTAAAGTCAAAACAATTTTGAAGCGCTCTGGGTTTTCCCAAGCGCTATGTAAATAAAAGATTACTTATTATCTTATTAATGATGACATTTTAAAACCAGAAACTCTCAATATAAAAAACAAGACTCAAATCTCTTAAACCTTCTTAAACTTTAAAATATGTATTATGTACTTTTGTACTGTGTGATGTTTTTAATCTTGAACATCTTGGGTTTCACTTTATGGACTTTCCCTTTTACACTTATTTATCTCAGCATCTATTCTACTAATTTAAAATAATTGCAGCATTTTTCAAATGAAGTCAGTATGAATTGGAGCACATTTTAGACCAGGCTCCTGTACTGCGTGCATCTGCAGCAGGAGGAAGGTCAGGTGCATAGTCAAAACAAAAACAAAAGTCACCACTTGCATGTGAATTGGGTAGTTTAACTTAATAATATAATACTTTTACAGCCTAATTCCCTCTTTCTTTTTTAGACGAAGTCTACAATCATTAATCACTTTTAACAGATTCTAATTTAAATGTTTGAAAAACGGCTTTTGTAACTAAAATAAAAAATACATGAAAAAATTCTCACAAACAGCTATGAAATATATCAGAGATACAATAATGGACTCACAAAATAAGCAGCAGATTTAAAAAGAAAAGCAAAGCTTTTTGTACTAATCTTTGGGTTTCAAAAAACATACTAATTCAAAACTTCTATTCCCTAATGGTGTTTAAAAACGTTTAACTGTGTCTAACACAATGTTCAAATGGCAAATTTAGCAAATTTAACGGAATAACAACTATGAAAAGCCAAAAGTCCTAAAGCAGTAGCTTTGCTTCAGATTCACAGCCAGAGCAGCGAAGGAGGGGGCCGTTTCCCTGACAACGGCAGCAGATAGAGATGTGCACACACAGGCAAAAAGATACAGAAGAAGAACTTTCAAGATTACTTTTTTAAGCAAATATAACTGATGTTGTTCTTTATACTTTTGTCATCCAAATCTAGAAGTGATCACTTTCCACACTAGTAACAAAAGGCACTCTTGTCTTTAACGTTTACGCTTCTATTTTATCGAGGTAGCAAACTAATTTAAACTCAAAATCTCTTTCTAAAAAACAAAAACAACTGTTGGATACAACCCTCTCATAGCTCAACTGTAGATAAAACTTGGCAAAAAATGTAAATATCTCACAAAAGCTCTCATAGCTCAACTTTAGATAAAACTCTGCATTCTCCGGTGAACTCTGTTCACTCCAAAAACAAAAACTCCCTTTTTCTGTATGTAATTTAAACCGTGATCACTGAAATATTGTTGCTTCTTTACTTTTGTCATTTATCAGCCTGAAATTCGTCAATTTCAAAGCTTTTGTAACAAAGGCCTCTTTAACACATTTCCCTTTTTATAATAACTTTTAATTTTACACCATGGTTTCACTAACTATTTTCTATTCTCTATTCTCTGCCCCGGCTACTCCAAAGGCAGGGACCCCGATACGTCAGGGGTTCCTTTCTCTCTCTGCCCCGGCTACTCCAAAGGCAGGGACCCCGATACGTCAGGGGTTCCTTTTTCTCTCTGCCCTGACTACTTCAAAGGACCGGGACCCCGATACGTCAGGGGTTCCTTTCTCTCTGTCCTGACTACTTCAAAGGACAGGGACCCCGATACGTCAGGGGTTCCTTTCTCTCTGTCCTGACTACTTCAAAGGACAGGGACCCCGATACGTCAGGGGTTCCTTTCTCTCTGTCCTGACTACTTCAAAGGACAGGGACCCCGATACGTCAGGGGTTCCTTTCTCTCTGTCCTGACTACTTCAAAGGACAGGGACCCCGATACGTCAGGGGTTCCTTTCTCTCTCTAATCTTATCTATAGATATTAGACATTTGGCAGACCTCTAAACAGACCATAATTTAGTTCACTCAATTAGCAGACTTTGAATAAACAGGTGTCCGCTCTTACCTTTTGTTGAACAGGGCCCAGGCACCGTCAGAAGTCCACCAAATATCAGCTTTTCCACGTCCAACCAGGTCTCCAGATCATGAACCAGCGCTCACTAGTACCGGGAACTAGTTTCCATCGGCAGAGACCAATCGCACGTCAAAAATCCCCGGAATGCGGACATGGGAAAACAATTTGAAACGCTAAGTCC